GCACAGACCACCGCCCCCCCCGCGCCCAGAGCACAGACCCCCCCCAGGCCTGCCCGCACCCAGAGCACAGACACCCCCCCTGCCCAGGCCTACCCACGCCCAGAGCACAGACACACACCCCTGTGCGCACGCCTGCACACACACCCCCACACACGCCTGGCCACGCCCAGAGCACATGCACACATACGTGCACACGCCTGCGCACACACACCCAAGCCCAGTGCACACACCTGCCTGTCCCCCGAGCACATACACACGCACACCCACATACCCCTGCCCGCGTCCAAAGCACACGCACATGTATGTGCCCTTCCTGTCTCCGCCCCCTCTCCCCTCATGAGCCTGGTCTCCCATGGCACCCGTGTAGGGAACACTGCCCCTTCCTGGCTCGTTAGCTCCGTGGAGAAGCACAGGAGAGGCGCATGGTCTTTGCCTTGGTCCTCCCTAGCAGCTCAGGGAGACGAGTCGTCCTCCAACGCAGAGAGCGCCCGGTATCCTGTCCGTGGTTCTACCCTGTGGTAGAACAGCATGACGTAACCTACCATAGGGTAAAACCACTGGCAGGACACAGAGAGAGACAGAGCAGGAGCCCACGGACCAGAGACGGGAGCAGGGTCACCGTGGAGGAGGAGGAGTTGGGGTGTGACAGACACGAGGACACCAGGGAGCCGGGGGGGGGGGAAGGGAGGGAGGAAGAAGAGTTAGCACCAAGCCAAGCACCCAGGCAGAGGCCGGCTGGGGGCAGCAGCAACACAGACTCCTTCTCTGGCCGAACGCTGCACCATGAGGCTTTCCTCAGAGCCCCAGGGGCGCAGGCAGAGCCCCCCCACTGCAGTCCCAGGGGCGCAGGCAGAGCCACCCTTCCCCCCCGGGGCGCAGGCAGAGCCCCCCCCCACCGCAGTCCCAGGGGCGCAGGCAGAGCCCCCCCCATTCTCCAGCCCCAGGGGCACAGGCAGAGCCCCCCTTCTCTCCCCCACCGCAGCCCCAGGGGCGCAGGCAGAGCCCCCCCCATTCCCCAGCCCGAGGGGCACAGGCAGAGCCCGGAGGGGGGCCCTCTTGCTCGGTTTTGTTACTGTGGTGCACACAGGATTCAGGCCATTTCTCATTCAAACCCAGCAGGACGTGCCCTGGGCTTCTCTGTGGCAGCAGGTGCTGAGCAGGGCCCTGGGAGAGGAACACGCGCCCGAGCTCTGCCCTGTGAAAGCCCCAAGCCTCTCCCTGGGCCCCATGAAGGGCATTCCCGGCAGGCTGCCCCGTTCGCTCAGCAGGACTCACCTCGCAATGCCGCCATAGTCCAGCCCCTCCTCGCCGCGCATGATGATGTACAGCCTGCGCCGCAGATCATAGGGCTTCATGTTCATAATCTACGAGGGGGAAGAGATGGGCCATGTCACCCACAGGGGCTGCCCTGATATCCAGGGCCAGCCCGGCTCCTGCATCCCTGATGCCCTCTCACACGGCGCCCTTCAGAGAGCCCTGCTCTGCCTGTGGCCCTCCCTGCGCAGGGACTCACCTGCTGGAAGGAGTCCTCGAAGAGCGTCTGCCGGGAAACGCTGATCTTCACGTGGCTGGGCAGCGCGTTCGACTGGAACCAAACACAGGGACTGGGCTCAGAGTCAGCACAGCTCTGCCCTCCCAGTGAGCCGCCCGCACCCTTTCCAGCCCCCAGCTTGGCTGAGCGAGAGGCTGTCCTGACCCCCGTGCCCCGCTCCCCAGTACTCACGTGACACAGGAAGCGGAACTGGTGATATTTCCAGCGAAAGCTTCGGTCGTAAGCCCCAGGGGAACCCCCCTGCTTATTCCTACAGGAGCAAACACATGGGCCTTGGCTGAGAACCTCCGGGAGCCGTGCCCCAGCCCCAGCCAGGAGAGCTCCCCCACAATACAGCAGCCACCACCTGCTCCGTGGCTGGGCCTGGCCAGCCGTTGCACAGCTGGGCACTGGGGGAACAGCAGCCCAGCGTGAGCGCGCCCAGCAGCCCAAGGGTATTGGGGAGGCACAACCACCAGCCATTGACCCAGTGGCCCCAGGCCACGCTGCAGGTGCACAGGGTCCCGCACTAACAGCGGCACTTGGCATCTTCCCAGCGCCTCATGAGAGCCTCGCCCCTCCTGATGGGGGAAGTGGGCGTGGCCTAAGGCTACAGAGCCAACCACAGGCAGAGCGGAGGACCCAGCTCCTAGCCCGGGCGTGAGCCGCCCGGCAGCACGTGGCAGTGACAGGAGGAGGGGCCCTGGCAGGAAGCGCCTTACCCAGACTCAAAGCCGGGGCGGGGGTCTTTGAAGGTGGTGGTGCGAGTGTTGTGATCCACAAAGTAGCGCACCCCCTCGCTGGTGTATTTCATCTCCCAGCCAGGCGGCAGGGCCGGCTCCTGGATCATCCTGCCCGGCACAAGGAAAAGATTCCTGGACACGTGGCACACTGGGGGCAAGAGGGTCCCGTTCCCCTGGCATGGCCTGCTCCGGCACCCCCTAGGCTGGGAACAAGTGCAGCTCCTGGCCCCCAGCCCCTCACGCCTTGTGCCACTCCCCTTAGCCCCAGGAGTCTCCTTGTAGCTGCAGCTCTGTCCTGGCTCCCAGGAAGCCCTTCCATGCTGCAGGACTGGCGGGGACCTGGTTCAGCCCTGGGCCAGGAGCCCTGCACCGTGTGACCTCAGCCCAGGAGACGGACTCCAGCTAACGCTGCACTCAGCCGTCTCCCAGGAGACGTGCCCAATGGGGAGCACAGCACAGCACCCCCAGCCACCGCAGGGACACCCCCAGGACTCGCTCTGGCTGCACTGGCCCAGCGTGGGGAGGGAACCCGAGCACAGAGCCATGCGGTAGGAGGGGGCAGGAACCTCAGGGGGCCTACACGGAAGTGCCTCCTCCTGCCCAAACCAGCCCAGAGTGTTCCCCTTGTGTGGGGGCCTGGGCTGTGGCTGCCTCCTAGTCTGGGGCCTGGCAGATGGTCTCAGACAAGATTCCCAGGGGAAACCAGCGTGCCCCCACCCCTGCTTGGGCACTGCCTTGCTGCAGTTCCTGGCACTTGATGCCTTTTCCACTGTGTCTGTTTGCAGGACTGCTCCGGAGCCCTGTCCTGAGCTCTCAGACGTGGGGTTACTAGCACAAAGCTCTGTTGTGGTTAGGGGCCCACTCGCCAGAGCGTGACCTAGCCAAGCAAAGGTGGCGCCCTACCCCTGCGTGCGAGGATCCTCCCACTGGGTGGTCCGCGTGTTGTGGTTCACGTAATACACTCGCCCGTTGTCCTGTCTCTTTTCTGAGGGAGAAAGAGGGAGAGAGAGTGTTACCCTGCCCCCTCCGGCCCACTCGCACGGCTCTGCACTAGCCCAGGGGGAGCACGCGCTGGCCTCAAGCCTTTCAGGGAATGGCGACGCTGCAGTCAAGGATGTGGCTGCAGCACGTGTAGACAAACCTGATACCTGCAGTGACAATGCAGCCACATGGCTGCAGTGTGGGCTAGCCATGCCCGAGACGACCAGGGCTGGTACAGCCGCACCGAGGCTAGCGAGGTCAGAGCTAGCAGGTACATCTCCACGCACTGCAATCACACCCGGGGCACAGTGCACACCAGACAGGCTGGAAGCTGGAAAGGGCCTTTTGTAACTCTCAGCTCTCCAGGAGCTGGGGATCACCTGGGGCCAGTGCTTCTGGGGCCCCTGCTCCTTGCAAAGGGATGGCATTCCCCTGCCCCGCAGCCCGGCTCTAGGAAAAATCTTTGGTCTAAGGCTGGGGTAAATGGAGCATGAGAAGGAACAGCAGCAACTACTCACGACGTCCCGCAAAGCGGGGTCCCCACCCACACTCCACGGACTCTGGCACCCGTCACAGAGCTCAACACCCTGCGCACTCTGGGCCGGGCCGGGCCGGGCCGGGCCGGGGCACAGAGACGCAGAGATACAGGATGGGCAGCTTCTGGGAAGAGTACTGTAACTAGCCTTGTCCTGCCACATGGGTGTGCACACGCCTCCCAGCCCCCGCTGCATGTGCCGCATATATACCCCTGCCCCCCCACCTGTATCCCTCCCCCCGGCCACATGCACACCCCTCACACCCCTTCCCCTTCCCGCTGCATGAGCCACATACACACCCCCGCCCCTCCCCCGTATGCCTCCCCCTGGCCGCATGCACACCCCACACACACGTTCCCCCCCCCAGCTGCATGCGCCGCATATGCACCCCTCTCCTCCACCCACATCCCTCCCCCACTGCATGCACCCCCTCACAGGCCTCCCCCATCCATTCCCCTGCTGCATGCACCCCATTCATGCCCCTTCCACCCATCACATGCACACACCTCCCACACCCCTCCACTGCATGCACAACCCGCTCATCAAAAACACACCTCCCTCAGAAACATCCACTTTATACACCCGCCCCTTAAACTCCCAGTGTATGCACAGGTCTCCCCCAATACACACCCGCCACATGCACCACACATGCCTTCCCCACACCCACTTTACACACATACACACACACACACCCCTACTCCCTAACACACAGACGCTCCCCTAGAGTTCACAAACCAACAGCCTATCCATGTACACACCGAGACACCCTCCCCCGCCCAAACAGCTCTCCATGTACAGCTTTCCTGAGCCCTCCGTACACCTCTATATGTACGTATACTCCAGGTACACCCCTCCCTTCACACACACCCCTTGTCATCACTTTGCCTCTCCTCTAGACCCAGACACACGCATTGGCCTAGCCAGACACAACCGCCTCCCGATACACACAGACACGCACACCCCACACAGCTGCGCAGGCTCCCAGTACCCCTGCCCCTAGCCACGCTGCACGGAGGCCCTGCCCGCGGGCACCCCCAAGGCACTGGCCCTATTGTGAGCCACCAGCCCTGCCTGCTCCTGCACAGACTACAGGGAGGAGCAGAGTTTCCCCAGGCGCGGCATTTGCCCTGCTGCTGGAGCGGCAGCACGCTGAGCGTGTGGCCCTGCTCACCTCCCACTCCTGGGAGCTCCCCTCCTCCAGAGGCTGAGCTGGGGAAGCAGGACGCTCCCGGGAGTCCCAGGCACCTCCTGGAGGGTGGCTCAGGCTGTACCGCTAATTGGAAGCAGGCTCCCTTCCCCTTCCCGCCTGGACGTTCAGGCAGCTCATGTGTTTGCTCCCACGCTGCAGGCTTTGGCTGGACTGCGCTCTCAGCCGGATGCACAGAGCAGCCCAGGACATGCCAGACTCTCCTCACTGAGACCACAAGGTTATTGGAAATAAATCAGGGCCAGAAGCAGGGGGCAGGGAGCCAGTTAGGCCGGGGCTGGTGGTTGAGAGCACCTGGGAGCCAGCTCCTGCCCACAGCCCCTGCTCCACTCACTAGGGCCTTACTTCGGGCTAGTGCTACAAGCGGAGAGTTGCTGGAAGCCCTCGAGTGACCCAGGCCAATGCCCCTCCTGCACAGGGCCCAAGCACCGCAGCGGCTGCAGGGAGCAGCACCCAGAAACCTGACAGAGCCAGCGCGGCCCTGAGCCGCCTGCATGCAGCAGCGCTGGCTGGACTCTCCCTTGGACTTTCAGCTCCTCCATGGCCCCGCGCGGCCGGGCCACCACCCCGGGGCCCTGGGGTCACCCAGCCCACATCTGAGCCAGGTCACCCAGCCCACATCTGAGCCAGGTCACC